TACATATTTATGCTAAAAAATGTGAAAATCCTCGGGGAGGGTCAAAAATCCGGTGTCTACAATCATAATATGCAAATTAGCTACAACGTCATTACAACTCAAAAATCAAAAGTAATGTATTCGATACGAAATCTTATATGCATCTCTTAAGGAGTAATGAATCTTGAAAGAATTTCGATAATATAATTTGATATTTTTCTTAAAATACTCCTTTTATTTAATATGCTTTATATTTGAAAGAGAATTTATATAAAAACATAATTCACAATTTAATTTAAATATGATTCTCTAGCATCGTTTATTTTTAAGTTTTAACGAGTTAATAAAGTGACACATAAGTCACCATACAATACCATGATAACTAATTACTTGTAAATAGTTACTAGTTAATACCAGGCTATTAAATTAATAAGTTTTGTATCTCGTAAACGTGGAAAAACTAATATTTAGAAAAATAATTATAAAAAAAAATTATGGACTATTATGTAGTAAAGACATAACAAAAGTTAATAAATAAATACTTTTTAAATGAAAGATTTATTTAAAATTAACTATTATGGCAGTCTTAGTGGATAACGTGCAATAATTTTTATTTCAATTATGACATAAAATACTCTCAACTCAATGATATATGATTAACAAAAAAGTAATTTTGAATAGTCAACGATTTAATAAGAAAATTTGAGGATTTACAAGGTTAGTTACACACAATTGCATAAAGTTCTATTAGGCGAGCCCAGTACACTAGGCGTTGGGTGTGCCCGGGGCGTAAGTATCATAGAACTAAGCCCCACACATAAGCCCAGGGGCGTTTTACGAGTGCTCCGGCCCGGGGCGAGCCCCGGACGAGTCCCAATTTTGCCTTTTAAAACAGAGATATTGACTAATTAACTACTTTGTCAAACAAACATGCCAAAATTGTGTAATTACACCCAATTACACTCAAATCCAATTACAAGATGGCTTTCCTAATAGGCCCTTAAGTATTTTGACCAGAAACACTAAAATTCAGAAATTGCAAAAAAAAAAAAAAAAAAAAAAAAAAAAAAAAACACTAGAAACACAAAATCCGCATTAAATCATAGAAACTGCAATAGAAAAATTACATTCGATACAAAAGTTAGAAATTGCATCCCAAAAAACTGCATAAGACCTTAAAAACAGACTAAAACAAAAGAAATTATAAAAGCACAGACTAACTGTTAGTTTTCACTGAATCAAATTCGTTAATTATTCATGTTTAATAATTTTAAATGATCTGCTCAACAATATATTTACAAAAATTAGCATGGCAGTACCCAAAGGAAATGGTCTTGGTGGAATATCCCTATTTTTTATGATCTTAGCAATTTTTTTTTACTTTAACATTATATTTCTTTAAATTTTAAAGCTTGAAATTTTTGTTTGATGGCGAAAAATAAAAGTTAATGATCGATTTACTGTTAAAATCAATTGGATGTTAATAATCTGTGCTTAAACTTTTAGTTCAGACACATATAATGGTGATTTACTATAAAATCTCAAACTTTATTGTTGGACCTTAGAAAGTGTTGAAGAGGACAAAGTGGTCCTTTTGATTTGATGTTATTTGATAAATTGGTGATTGATGCTTTTTTGTGTTAGTATTTGCAAGATTTATTTCAAATTTGAGATCATTTAGAACAGATTGGGGTGGTTTGGTCGAAATTGAAGTTGTAAATTCAAAAAACACTTCGTTAAAACTACCTAGAAAAAATATTCTAATTTACAAGACTACGATGAATAACTTAACAGATAGGTAAATAAAATATATCATCAACTTTACCGATCGGTAGAGATATCCCTGAAGAGCAGAAGTATAACAACCCGATAGATTTTACTGAACAACTTAACAGATAGGTAAAGCAATAATAACATCAACTTTATAGACATGATATAAAAATCCGGAAGAGCAAAATTATGATAATCCGGCAAACTTGATGAACAATTTAATATGGTAGAAAAAATCTTAAAGAGCTTGTATGGGTTCGGGGTTATTTTTTAAATACCGTAAATTTGGTGACATTCCACTAAGACCGCCCACAAAGTCCCTTCCGCGCCAATCACCCATCTATTTAACGTGGTACTTTGAACCTAGTCCAAACACAACAGATCATTTTTATACGATACAGAGTTTAAGAATTTTTTTTTAAAACTTGTGATCTTAAAGGGTAAAAACTTTGTGGGACCATGATATTTGTATGGTTATAAAAGCTTCTCATTAAGGATAAAATAAAAAGTTTAAAATTGAATTATTTTAAATTGTAGAAATGTGTCACTCTTTTTGAAACGGACTAATAAGAAAAATATGTTATATAAATTGGAATAGAGTGAGTAGTACTTCCTCCGTTTACTTTTACTTGACATGTATACTAAAAATATATTTTTATTTTTACTTATCACTTTAAGCATATCAAGAGCAGACAATTTTTTTTCCTGTTATACACAGTATTTATTACTTATTTCAAATTATTTTCTCAAATCTAATAAAATATACATCAATTAATATAAATATCATAATAAATTATGTACTTTATTTTTATTTTTTAAGGGCGTAAAAAGTTAAAACTTACCGGCCAAAAGTGAACGAGGAGTACTATTTCTTACTTTGAACCTAAGACCATTTTTGTCATTTTGTGGTAAATTCTGTTCCCCAGTGGCTGTTTAGATGTCCTAGAAATAGTAAAAGCAGCTCTGTACTGAAATGAATATCCCATATCGTCCCTCAAACCCTAGACACACACACATACTCTCTCTCTCCCCTCTCCTTCACTTTCTGAAGGTCAGTCGGATCTTAGTTCAGTTCTTTATTATGTGTTTAGGAGTAACAATTATTGCTAATTCGTGCTACTCTTGAGCTGTTATTGAATTAGGGGGGTTGTAAAACTCAAGTGTTTGAAGAATATTAGAATCACTAACTTGTGTTATTGGTGGGTACTATATGGTTAAGTTTGATAAAAATAAACTATTTCTTGGGCATGTCTTAGTTTTGTTGTAATTGCTAGGGAGCTTTATTAATAGCTTAAAGTGTTTAATCAGCAACTGGCATAAGTTAGAGGCTTTAGACTTTTTCTGCTCTCTTTTTTTTTTTTTTTTTTTGATTTGCACTGGGTGTCCGAGTCTCTGAGAGGCCCGACTAATCCCGGGGTGCAGGCCTTTTCTGCTCTCTGTTTCTTTGGTGACAGATGTTTTATATGTGATGTTAGAGAACAAGTATTCTTCTTTCACAACTTAAACCAAAATCAATCAGCTACACGTCAATCCCAAATTAGTTGGGGTCGACTCTATGAATTAGGAGGTATATGCACTTGTTCGTGATGAATAGTCGAGCTTAAATGGAACTGCTGTTGGAACTAACTAAGCAATGAACCTGGATACCATTTAATGTACCGTAAAATATGGATCAAGCATTTAAGGGAATGTTTATTTAAATAAAAATATGGTATTGACCTAGGGCTTTGGTCTAAGTGGTAAGAGCATAGATTGTGATGTGTGGTCTAGGCGCACGTCACGGTTTCGTACCCTAGACAAAAACTTGATATTTAAATGGAGAAGGATACAAGGGCCGGCCCATTATCCACCGAGTTTCCAACCGTGCGCCACGGGCCCTCGGGGATTTGTCGGTTATTTTTAAAAAAAAGGTATTTTGCCTAAGTCATCGGTGGAGCAAAGATGTTTACGGGTCACTGTCACTACTGGGAAAGGGGTTTTGGTAGTGAATTACTTATTACCCAAAAAAGAAAAACATGGGTGCAAGCAGCGAAAGGGCAAGTTCATACCAAGGGGGTTGCACTTTTTGAAGAATTGACTGGAAAATAATTAATACTTAAGAGCATAGTGGTCGGTTGGCACAAACCTGATACTTGTGGGGGATGTATTTGAGCTACTGGTATAACTGATCTGTGCAGTGTATTTGGCAACTGCATTTAGTTATTTGCATGTGAAAAATATTGACAACTTCTATATGTCTATTATTTAAAGTGACTAATTAGTGCGAAGCATGATTTTTATTCCTTTCATGTTTCTTTTAAAGAAATTAAATGTTTTGGTAACAATGTAAATTAGTCTTAAGATTCTTGTTTAGGCTGAAGGAGTTGGGTGCAAAGGGGAGTAATCCGTGTCACGCTTAAATCTTTACTAAGATCCATAGCTTCACCACTTTTCCTTAATAGCTGAATTTCTTGCATATTTATCTTCTTTCTTACTCATTGATTTTCCATTACTAACAAGATGAACAAAGGTTTAGTTTTGTTAGTAAACCTTAGTGTTCTTACTTCATAGGTCTGATCATTTTCTTAATTTCTTTTCCCATTGCTACTTAAATCTTGTCTTGAACGTACTTAATCATTCTTCAACACAACATGATTTTGACGTGCTTTTGAGTTGTCTATTTATTTCAATGCCATTCATTTGTTTTTATTATTCAGGTAAAAAATGACTGAGCCTTCAAAGGTCATTCACGTTCGCAACGTGGGCCACGAGATCTCTGAGGTAGATATCAGGATTGCATACTGAATAGTCCCCCCCC